CCTAAAGGCTCCCACATACTCGGGCATACTGTGTGCGGTCCATGAGCCATGCGGACTCTGTGCATATTGTCTGCAGATGTTTGATACTTCATACTCGAGCGTACTGACCGCTGGACGAATTCTTTAATTTCTTGCAATTTCAGTCATGTTGTCAAGGATCAGGTGGAAGAGATGGTTTGCATTTTAGCTTTAAAACAATAAAAGAAAAAAAGAAAAGAACTACCTTACCCAGGATCTGACATATTTCCTCCCACAAATTTGTTGCTCGCTGAAAGTCTTTATATTCCTTCATTGACGCGTCATAAAGTTTTCTAATCTCCTCCATGAGACGTTTTTCAAGATTTGACTCCATTTCGTCCACAAATGACACCGATTCTCAACTTTATCAGCTTGGTGTCGCACCCAGAACAGTACAAGCCACTGTGCGCACCGCAGACGCAAAAAACTGATCTCTGTGTGGACCAGTCCGGCGGACTTCCGCTTCGGGTCCGCACTGAGTCCGCACGGACCTCCGCAGACCGAAGTACGCCCGAGTATCTGGGGGCCTTTACTAGTAAAGCACAGCAGAGCTGCAAATAAAGTGAGGACATTGAAGAGGTCCTCACTTTACATCAAAAACCTCACTTTGAGAGTAACTATGGTGCAAATGGTCCTCACTCTGTAGTGAAAAAAAGTACACACCCACAGTGGGTTGCATGGCCCACCCTGAGTCACAGAGCTGGGCCTGACTCTGTTGCCATCAGGTACAAGATTGATTGTTGGACATTTTAGACACGCACCAGTAGCATCCACCGCCCTGAGGCGAGGTACAAGGATGACTGCAACACAAACACGACTCCAACAAGGAGTTCCTCAGTGCCCACCAATGGACCCTGGTGGAAAATATGCTGACCATCCTCGATCCATGTGAGCAGCTGAGGAAAAACGGGGCAAGGCCACAGCTGCAGATGTGACCCCCTACATCCAATACTTGGTGCACCTGCTTCAGAAAAGTGTTCCAACAGACCAGGGAGTGAAAGCATCAAATGGCACCCTGTTAAAAGCAGGTATTTGATCATGTTGAGGAAGAACACCTGTACTGTACAGCAACAATATTGGACCTGAGGTACAAGAACCAGTACTTCACTGAAAATGCAGCAGACTCCCCACCTCCTGTCCTCCAGAAACACAGCTTCCTTGTGTCTCATTTGGAGGTCAGTGTGTCATTGACACATCAGCCTGATGGTACAGACAGTTTGTTTAACGTCATCCACATACTTCTTCACTTCTTTCAACACAGAGACATGGTTGCAGTTCTGGAGATCAAGAGAGAACGTCTGTCTCAAACTCCTCCTGTGGCACTGGATGGTGTCCCTGCATCACAAGCCTTTCTCTGTGTGTTCAGTTAGATACAGCTTTAAAGAKCCCTTGGGAAGATTCCTTCTGGGAAATTAAACATACTAATACTTGATCTCATGAAAACTAAACATTAAAAAATTACAAGACCTAATAAAAACTAGCAAACTCACTTTAAAATCAATTAAAACTATCTGAATTAGAGGGAAAAGTCACAACAAAGCAAAACTAAATATAATAAAAAGTTCAGCAAGAAGACAAAAAAATACCACATATTATATAAGTCATTTAAAATGATTACAAATGCCACATACTTTAGTAAGTCGTCCAAACGGACTCTAAATTCCACTAAGTCACATGACTTTGGTGCTGGTAGATCAGGGGTTCAACTCCTGGTGCTAGCCTCTGAGCAACACAATGAGTGAGAGAGAGAATAACGAAGCTGTGTCTGCTCAGACGGACCGGTCAACAAGGACAGAGTCAGATGTTGGGGAACGCTCTGATGAGCTACTGGAACCAGACGTGCACGGACAAATGCCTGTTTGAATGAACTACTGATATGGCAGGAGGGAGCCAGGATCAAAGTTCAGTGGGGGCGGGATCAACCATCATCATCATCCTCTCTACCACAGTTAAAACCTTGTTATTTATATCCTTCTGGATCAAACTTTTCTTTAATCAACAACAACCAACAAAAGGAAAAAAAGTCAAACTTCACCTGAATATTAAAGAAAAGCAAGTGGACTAACTTTAGTGTGTCAGTGGTTACTGTGTGATGGTTGTTGGCCAATTCAACTTTCAGTTACTTAAGGTTTCTCACAAAACACGTAGGTACTTTTCCTGTTTTGGAAACCCACAGTGCTGTTGTTTCAAGATCATCTCATAGAGCAAGGTCATTATACTGCCAGGACTCATTTTTTAAAGATCTTTCATTTCAACCGTAACAAACCATGTTACCAAGCCCTTTGATCGATGTCTATGTTTTTAAACATTACCTATTCAGTCCCTAGCTGTATTGTGTCTCTACCTGTAGGGTTGGGCATTATCGTATCGTGTGCAATTAATCGTCAGAAAAATATTAATCAATTATTTTTCGGCACTTGATGATAAATACGATTAATGCCACCAGGCGGATTGACCGCTCGGTGCTCCTCTCCACTTCAAATATGATGAACATAAAAAAGTTCCGTAATTTATTTATTTATTTCATATTTGATGTACAGCCTGAAGTCTGTAATTTTGACACAGTTTGGAACAGATTTTTTCAAAGAGAAAATCTTTCCCACTAAATTGGTCATGTGACTATGAAATAAGGGTGTCCAGGGACTTCAGAGGATTAATTGTCAAATTAATCGTTATCGGCTAAATACCACAATTAATGGTGATTTTTTTTTTTTTGCCAATATTGCCCAACCCTACTTGTACCACAGCCATTATCTGTTCTTTCATTTTATTTTATCACTTGTAATTTCACTAAATCATAGAGTTATAGTCATGGTCACTGCCTGGAAGCTTGACTTTTTAAACCTGTTACACCTGTATAACACTGTTATGTTCTTAATTATACTCTGTTTTTTATGACGTGTGCTGCTGACCTCTTGGCCAGGTCACCCTTGGAAAAGAGATCTTGGTCTCAATGGGTTTTATCTGGTTAAATAAAGATGATGGTCTATGAGACGTCAGATCAACACATAACTTTTCAAAAAAAAAAAAAAAAACATCTCTGTATGTGGAGTGGTCTCAGGAAAGATGACCTGATGGGGGACAGACACGAGGCCATGTCTCTGGCAGCAGCACCTCTCTGGACTCTAGAACAGGCTTTTAGCTAGAGCAGCGCCCTGTTCGGTTTTACAACATCTTCCTTCATTGTGGCAACGCCTTAAGACACCCTTAAGGCATCGTCCCGATCTTCAGGTTTGAAAAGACTTAACAGACATGCTTCTGGATGAGGCGYGGTTTTAACTCTCAAAACACACCTGAAAGGTCTACTAACCAATCAGAATTAGGTGGGGGCGGGGCTTGGCTCTTGGTAAAACAGCACAAACTGTGCACTGGACATGGACCGTAATTTTACAAAGCCAGCAGAAAACACAAAACCACATCAAACCGATTCAACATGGACTTGAACTCATCAAGGAAGACCAGGAACTTCAGACCACAGCTGTACTTCAACCTCTGGAGGTCCTGAAGCAGATTCTTCTTCAGACTTTTCTTTAACACTGACCACAGAAACCCAACAAGACAAAGAGTCAAACCTCTTCTGAATTTGTTCAACATCTTGTAGAAAATGTCAGAACGTGTGGAGGAGAACACACCAACTTTGCTCCAAGCTGTCTTTAAAACAAACCGGTGGATTTTTTTTACAAGCCGTTTCTTCTCAAACTTTTTATTTATTGTTAGACATTTTAGATAAACTCAACCTTTTAAAGCACTTTTTTATTTTTACAAAAAAAGTGCTTTAAAAGGTTGAGTCCAATTGGCTCCCAGACAACAAAAACCAGGCATTTAGGCTTTGATGTTCTAAAAGTGTTTTTTAATATTATTTTATATTTAAAAATATTTTAGCCTATAAAACTAAAATAGCTCATCTTTAAGAATGATCAAATAGAGTAAAATTAGCCTTTTTACCATATTATTTACACAATTTTTGCTCCCTATTTATTTTCAGTTTGTACACATGAAATAATTAAATAAATTCTGAGACATTATTTCGTTCAGTTTGTCGATTTTGCTGCTAAACTTTAGTACAACTCATTTCATTTTACAGACAGGGCTAATAATAATTGTGTCCTCCATTTTTCCTGCCTTCCTCCTCTGTAATTGCTTTTTTTGCTGCTATCAGTGCATCACATTGTCTTTGTGAAGAAAGCCTGTTCTATAAATAGGAAGTTGACACTGACAGCTCCAGTTAGATCAGTGGGATAAGCGTCAAGACTTTAACCCAGACAAAGAGCTTTCGGAGGAGAGGAGAGGCTCGACGCTGACTCACAGCAGCGACGGTCCAGTAATCAAATGAAGTCGGGCCAGGCACGCAAAACCAGGTTCCTGTGGTTTCTGGCTGGACGACCAGCCGGGTATCCGAACCCTCCCCCACGCCCACTCGTGTTCRCCACCAACTGCACAAACAGCCTCGTCTTTTAATATCTGAATAATCCATCTCAAATTACCCGTCCAATCAGTTTAATTGCCTGCAGTTGCTTCTGCTGCCAACGTTGTCCTCCTCGCTGAGTAATTATTCTCTAATTATGTGCCTCTGATTGTTTCTCCTCCTTCAATCTTTTTGTTTCAAAACTAGCTTCAAATATTTGGCAGCGAACCTTTGCTTCCCTCTTGCATCTAAACAAACTGTGCCGTCGCACCGCTCGGTCCTGACTCAGCACACGGGTGCAGTCACAACAACAACACCGGCTCCCTCTCGCAGCCCTCGGTGTGTAAGACGCGAGTGTTTGTTCACATCAGTGTTAATCCAATCAGAGCTCTTACCTTCCTCTGTGTCCTGCTGACGGATGAGTCGCAGACATGGGGGAGAGAAAATAGACTCGACGTCAGTCACTGCTGGAGAGAGGACGAGTGTTGATCTAATGTAGAGTCAGACTTACGGGTGAGGATGCCGTTCCTGTGGAGGAGGAGTCCCCCGCAGCCGCAGACGACCACGAGCAGGAGGACCACCACCACTACTACSACCATGGCCGTGACGTTTACGTCCTCTGGAAACCAGGTGAAGACGATGGATTAAATCTGTTGCACATTGTTTAATTGAGTCTGTCTCACAAAGTGTTACTGGCCCCAAAACAGCTTAGCCATGAAGGGTGTCGGGATATGCATTCCTTAAATCTACTGGGCGAGTCAAAAGTCTCAGGACACCCTTTTATATCAGAAATGAAAGGGGAAATTAAATGTCTTGAATCCCCAGTAATGAGTGAGGAGGCCTATCTTTTAGGTTATGTCCGGAACATTACCGTCATCTTGAAAGTCGTCATACGGGATCAAAATAAAAGGGTGTCCTGTGACTTTTGACTCACCCTGTATTAAAGCAGGGGTGACAAATTCTGTTACACAATAGGGACAAAATTCAAAACTCAGTCCAAATGTCATTTAAATTATTCTTAAAGAAATATCTGGGGTATATCTGAGTACCCCAGCAAATAGTGGGTGAGTGGGCCTGTTTTAGGTTATGTTCAGAACCATGGAGGTGTACTTCAAGGTGTCACGCATGCTTCAGAAGACTGACAGCTGCGGTACGAGTGCAACGCCATATTGGATGGGACAGGCTGTCAGATGTACAAAATCTCCTGTGGTCCAAATATTTATCAACACAAAGTTGCAAACCTTTGTTGCTCGTTACAGGTGTGTCTGTGTTCAGCACCAGGGACAGCACATTGAACATGTCAAATATCTGTGCATGACAGGCAACGTGCATCACTCAGCCCTTTGTAAACAACAGGACATTTCAGGCAACGTTCCCAGTTGTTGCTGCAACCTTCTGTGTTGACAACTGTTTCACCACAAGAGATTTTGCACATGTTTTTGAAGCAATTAACTTTTGAGATAATTCTGACCTCCTTTCATATACTACATGACCACTTTCCCATTGGAAAAACTTGACTTAGATTCAATATGGTGGCTTTCAAGATGACAGGTGTTACAGAAAATTTTAATTTCTTGGCTTGAAATTTGGCACAAATTCCAGTGACAAAAAGAAAAATCATAACACTATTTTACAATTTAATGTTAACAAGGGCCAGATTTGGCCCGCAGGCCTTTAGTTTGACACGTTTATTAAAGAAATCAACTCTAATCTATACACAGAGTTGTAAAGTAACTAAGTACAAATACTTCTTTACTATATTTAAGTAGAATTTTTGGTTATCTGTACTTTATTTGAGTAATTATTTTTCAGCCTACTTTTTACTTCTACTTCTTACATTTTTACACAATTATCTGTACTTTCTACTTATTACATTTTTTAAAAAGGGAAGATGTAGAAAATCGTTACTCCTATTTCATTACAGCTTGTTGTTRAAAAATATTATCCTCCTGTATAGAGTGAATTTAATTGTGGTTGGATGAGAAGTATAAATTTATATCTTTCTGATCCTGTATTAGTTTGTACACAATCCATCACAGCTGCAAATAACATAAATCACACTCCAGCAGAACATAGCAGATATACTGTATGTAGCCTAGTGTATATAT